ACGGACGACCAATAAATCAATCAATCAAACGATCATTCAATCATTAAACAGATCACAGTATCGATTAATTGACCGAGCACGGGCGATTGGTTGATCGAATGTTCGAGTGATCGATCCATTCATCGACCTAATGTTTCACCGAACACGGGCGACCGATGATTCGATGGACCAACCAGCCAAATAACTAATCACAATTTGTCGGAATGATTGATTGGTTGATTGGTTGTTGGATCGATTGACCGATGTATCGATTCTACGACCGAGCACGGGCGACCTTAGAACGAAAAAACAAAAAGACGTCGGTTATCTTCAATCAATCAATCATCCAACCATTCAACCATTCAATCGATCGATTGGTTAATGTATCAAGTTGATTGATCCACAGACCGGTGTCGACGCGGGGAATAAAAAAGCCATTCAAACCAATCAATTCAGTCGGAGGACGGATTGCGTGCACCCGCTCACCAACGAGTCGATGTTTATCTGTAGAAGATATGATTGAATGATTGTTGATTGGCATCCAACCGATCGACCAGTCAATCAATCCTTCATGTATGTTTATCAATGTCGTTGGATCGAGAAAATTTCTCATGTATGGCGGCCAAAACGCTCGACAAAGATGTCTATTGTCTCTCTCTCCTATTCTCTCTCTCTCCGTTTCATTTTAAACTTGTGTTTTGCACAAAGAATTTCAAGATGTATGTAAGACAAAAGTCGTTTGTGCTTTTATTTTGAATGACACAAATTATTTACAAGGATTAAGCCATTTTGAAGATTTTGTAGACTCTCTAAAGCAATTTTGAAGTTATAGCCCTATAAGCCAGAATCCATTAGGAACGTTTTACGAACTGTGTGAGGCAACGCGACTGCACAACGCTAAAAACGACTGCACGGAACTACATGGCACGCAAGACAGGCAGCACGGCAGCCGTGTAGTGAAGCACAAGACATCGGAAGAAGGGCAACCACACCGCAAAGGACGACAGGGCGAGCGGGCCAGCAGCCCAGCAACCGCGGAGCGGAGCGCAAGGCACCAGCAACAAGGCAACCAACCTACAAGGCACATAAGCGGAAGGAAGGGCCATCGGATGAGCAGCCAGGCAGCGAAGCTCAAGGCAACCCGAACAACACGAAGGCAGTGGGACAGGCAGGAAGGCACGGGCAAAGGGCAGACGACGCAGTCCACACATCCAACAACCCRACCATGATACTCAGCGAACACACCACCCTGCGAAGAACCCCATGTGAAGCCAGCGGGACAGGCAGCAAGGCACCGGTGGAGCGCAGACGACGCAGTCCATATGTCCAACAACAGGGCCACACTACTGAGTGAACACATCACCGTGCAAAGACCCACATGTGAAGCCAGCGGGTCAGGCAGCAAGGCACAGGCAGAGCATAGACGCACATCCAACAACACGGCCACACTACTCAGCGAACACATCACCCTGCAAACAGCCACATGCGAAGCCAGCGGTACAGGCAGCAAGGCACAGGCAGAGCRCAGACAAGGCAATCCACACATCCAACACAGAGCAAAGCWGCACATGACCTACTCACATCATGATTGAACCTTSCAGGCTGTTGGTTCCCACCACCCACTGAGCCAGGGAGTCAATCCGACAAGCACCCGTCATCAGGCAACCCGAACAACACGAAGGTAGTGGGACAGGCARGAAGGCACCAGAAAAGGGCAGACGACGCAGTCYACACATCCAACAACCCGGCCACGCTACTYAGCGAACACACCACTYTGCAAAGAACCACATGCGAAGCCAGCGGGACAGGCAGCAAGGCACCRGCRGAGTGCAGACGACGCAGTCCACACGTCCAACARCACGGCCACAGTACTGAGCRARCACATCACCGTGCAAAGACCCACATGTGAAGTCAGCGGGTCAGGCAGCAAGGCACGGGCAGAGCGCAGACGCACATCCAACAACACGGCCATACTACTCAGCGAACACATCACCCTRCAAACAGCCACATGCGAAGCCAGCGGTACAGGCAGCAAGGCACCGACAGAGCGCAGACAAGGCAATCCACACATCCAACACAGAGCAAAGCAGCACATGACCTACTCACATCACGATTGAACCTTGCAGGCTGTTGGTTCCCACCACCCACTGAGCCAGGGAGTCAATCCGACGAGCACCCGTCATCAGGCAACCCGAACAACACGAAGGCAGTGGGACAGGCAGGAAGGCACCGGAAAAGGGCAGCCGACATAGTCCACACATCCAACAACCCAGCCACGCTACTCAGCAAACACACCACCCTTCAATGAACCATATGCGAAGCCAACGGGGCAGGCAGCAAGGCACCGGCGGAGCGCAAACGACGCAGTCCACACGTCCAACGACACGGCCACACTACTGAGCGAACACATCACTGTGCAAAGACCCACGTGTGAAGCCAGCGGGTCAGGCAGCAAGGCACGGGCAGAGCGCAGACGACGCAGTCCACACATTCAACAACACGGCCACACTACTCAGAGAACACATCACCTTGCAAACAGCCACATGCGAATCCAGTGGTACAGGCAGCAAAGGCACCAGCAGAGCGCAGACAAGGCAATCCACACATCCAACACAGAGCAAAGCAGCACATGACCTACTCACATCACGACTGAACCTTGCAGGCTGTTGGTTCCCACCACCCACTGAGCCAGGGAGTCAATGCGACGAGCACCCGTCATCACCCACAGGCAACACAGACACCCCGAACCGAGCGGACCCCCCAAGAGTGCACTTGGCACTCCCAACAAGGCACCACCGACTTTTTGGCAGTACTTGAGGGCGCTCAATTGGGCACACAAAACATATGTCCGTGTAGGATCATCAGAGACTAGGCAAAATCAGAGGGAGGAAATAACAAAAGAAAGACTAACAGACATAAAACTGATTGTGTGTGTGTGTGTGTGTGTGTGTGTGTGTCTGTGTGTGTGTGTGTGTGTGTGTGTGTGTGTGTG